ACTATCGCAAACTGTATGCTGCGGACGAGGATGGCAGCATACAGGGCCCCCAGCGACAGCCCATTCACATTGAAGTCACGGAGGCCGAAATGACCCTGGCGCTTTCGCAATTGTCACCACATAAAGCTACACCTCCGAACTTAGCCACAAACTCTCTATGGAGGCTAACCTCGGACCTCGTTGCGCCTCTCTTGTGTCAATGGTGCCGGCAATGGCCTCAAATACCAGAGCTTTGGAGAAGCGCATGGTTGACTCTTGTTCCCAAGATTCCGCGACCACTTTCACCAAAGAATCTCAGACCTATAGGGTTAACTGAATCCAGTGGCCGTGCATATGCTTCCATACTGCAGGCGAAATTGCGCCCCTACGCCGAGAGATTCCTTGCAGACCAGGCACAATTTGCATATCTGCCAGGTCGCAATGCTGCCCAAGCCATACATCGGGTTGCTGCACACTGCAAATATGTTCAGGATCGCTGCTCGATTTCAACACCTACGGTTGTTGATCGTCACGCACAACAGCCGAAACCCTGCCCACACTTTGCAGGTGCACAACTGTCGCTGGACCTGTCCAGTGCTTTTGACCTCATGGACTGGCGCCTGCTGGACAAGGCTTTACTAGCGTCCGAAGTTCCGGCTGAGCTCAGACACCAAATCATGTCCTGGCACTCTGAAATCTCCTATGTCCTTACTCACCTTGGGCACACTGCCAAGGTGGAGGCCCAAAGAGGACTTAGACAAGGGTGTAAACTGGCTCCGTTGCTCTGGACACTCGCCCTAGCACAGATATATCGTGAGATCCTTGCTGAGGGGGACCCGCTTCTCACAGCCCCTTGGCTAGAGCAATGCTCCACGATTTATGCTGATGATATACACCTCAAGGATACTGTGCAGAACACTCGTGAGCTGGACGACATGGTGTATCGCTTTAGTAAGATCCTCGATGCCCTTGCGGCCCATGGTATGGTCATCAACTCGGCCAAATCAGCATTGCTACTGAGACACAAGGGCAGTTTCATCCGAGGCTGGCTGCGCCGACACCTCATACCCAAACCCGAGGGGGATCTCCTACGTTTTCGCAGTCCACGGGGAACAGTGTATGAAATTCCATTGCGTGACCATCACACGTACTTAGGCATACGCATCTCCTACCATTCACAGGCCAAACAAGCAGTCACCTATCGGCTGCAGGCTGCGAATCAGGCCTGGCAAAGACTCCGTGGTGTACTGTGCTCCACCAGGCATCTCGCTCAGACGCATCGTCTCAGTCTATGGAAATCCACAGTGCTTCCCACGCTGCTCTATGGCATCGCAGCATCTAACCCAGGTGCCAAAGACATACAGCGAATGCAGCACATGATGACCAAGCAGGTTCGAGCCATCACACGATCCTTTGCACATCTTCAGAAAGAATCCACACAGGACCTTCTACACAGATGCTCTTTGTCCACCATTTTGGAGCACCTACAGAGGGAAGCCGCTGCCTTGCATCGTAGCCTGACCCGCCTGAGCACTGAAACGAGCTTCGTGACCCAAGCCCAGGTGGAATCAGCTCGAGACACTGCCGCTACACTTCACCTCCAAGTGCAACGCCAATGGCAGGTCCCTCTTGGGGACATAGAAGGCATCACAGATCCTGCTGTACATCAGTGCCAGGAATGTCATCGGGTCTTTACCTCCTTTCGGCTCCTCCGCTCTCACGAGGCTAAGTGGCATGGCCTCAAAACACCTGCTGCTGTCTCGGTGCCTTTTGACAGGTATGCACATGGAACAGAAGGACTTCCAACGTGCAGACACTGTGCCCATCCCTTTCGACAATGGGATGGCCTTGTCAAGCACATTAAACGCAATCGGTGTCAGGTACTTCGTAGACTTGCCACACAACCTCCTGCTGCTGTCCCACCCTTGGCTCCGAGTTCTGATGACTCTGATCCTGTACCAGTCCCTGACCCGGTTACTATGCCACCCCAGGATCTGTCTCCGGAGACCCACATCCTGTCAAACCATCAGGCTGATATGCCCCCGCCTACTCCTGTCGATATACCTGAACCCCCTGTCTTGGATGCTCTCCTGCAGGATAGCTCCACTTCGCCGAGCCACGAGGCTGCTCCTCTATATCAGCAATCTCATGTCCTTGAGACACTAAGTGCCCGCAGGTGGACTGACCTCCTTGTGAAACCGGAGACCTACTCGTACCTCCAGCACCACTGCCCGCTGTGTTACCAGTGGCTAGCCACCCCTACCAGCATCAAGTATCATCTCACCATGCAACATCCAGAGTGGAAAGAATGCCAACCTGCGACTCTCAAGCTTCTTACTGGTTTCCGCCGACATACTGTTGTACCATGTCGATACTGCCATCAGCGAAACATCAACAAAGATCGTCATTGGAAACAGTGTCATGTTTTGCATATTTGTGCCTTTCTAGCAGTGCACCATGACACTCTGCGCGGATCCCATGGAGCTGGACGAACAGGAGAAGCAATTTTGGGCCCATGCCGGTCCGGTCAAACGGGAACAGGAACCACGACGAGATGTGATGCATCAAACCGAGCAATCCAAGAGGCAGCGTCTGGCTCCGCAGGACCGGAACAAAGGCAAGGGCAAGGGTACCAAGGGCAAAGGCAAGGGAAAGCAGGGCCTACCAAGTCCATCCAGTGCCAACCAGGTCACGGGCTACACAAATGGTTTCGGAAGCCATCCACCCAATCCCTGGACACAGACCCAGGACCTGCAGCCACTGGGAAATCACGATCCAGACTGGATGGAGTACAGGATGAATCGACTATCCCAGCTGGTCCTTCGTCAGGAGCAAATCATCTCAGCCATCCGTCAGGACCTGGTCCTCTACCTCTTTGTACGATCAGGGCCAGAAGGGATGGTACCGGTTCTTTGCGAAGCAGCGGAGAAGTGGAGGAAGATGAAAGAGGAAGAACCCGAGAAGATTACTTACTCCCTCAAACTCATGCTCTTCAAGCAGCTGCTCATCACCTTACACCAGAGGTTGACCAACATGATTGCGGACGAGGATGCTCTCGCCAAAGCCAAGAACCTGAACTGGATCGACGATCAGAAACATTGGAAACATCTTACATGGAATCCTACCAAACAATGCCTGGAAGTCGACAACTCGGTGAGGCCAATACCGGCGGAAGATCTGCTGGCCCAACTGGTTCAGATGAGGAAGGCTGTTACGGAAGAGACCCTGGTGAGGTTCAAGTCCATGAGGAAGCTCACCACGGAGGTGACCTCCGACTGGATTCAGTTCCAGATCTGCATGTCCCTTCGCCCAGAGGGAGGAGCCATGTGGAGCACGCTGAACCAGTGGATCGGACAAGCATCGTGGCACACCCTGGGCTGCAGGCTTCGCCGCGATCGGCCGAACTACGACACCCTGGTCCAGGAAGTGTGGCAACATCAGATGCCATACTGAGTGTGCGCCCTAGTCTCAAGGCTGTCCTTCGATTGATTTTCCACAATCCTTCCAACTTGTGCTACCTGCACTCTACGATCTATGCACTATTGTGGACCATCCTCCAGGCTAGGCTGCATGATGCCTACGTTTCGCCTCCACCGCAGGCTCTTACCATGTTATGTCCACCAATCACTACCACACCCAATTGCCCCATTCAGGTACTCCACTCGGTACCGTGGCTTATGCTGCTGCAAGCTTGGCCTTCTGTGCATCGTCAGCACGATGCAGCTGAACTGCTACAATACCTTCTACCCAGGTTCTCGCATAGTGGGTTCAATGGTGGCTGGGAGGCCCGAAACTTTGTACCTGGAGGTATTGCCACTCTTGACAAGGGGCCTACCCAAGCTCCCATTCCGATTGCGCTGCCGGCAGGTCCAAGTCTGGAGCTCCAAGCAGCCATTGATGGGTGGAGTGCTCAGGTTACAGCTCGCTATGCACTGCTGAATCCGTCTCCCATGCTCTGCATACAACTCCAACGCTTCACAAATGCCGAGGGAGTCATGCGCAGAGACACCAGACCACTGGTCGTGGCCTCGACTACAGTTCGTATGCCACTCTTTACAGGTCTGCACACAATGCAAGTTCACTATGTCCACTACCAGGTCGTCGCTGTACAGCTTCACTACGGGGCCACTCCTGATATGGGGCATTACAGAACTATCTTACGAGGACAACCGCTGTTTGGAGCAGAAAAGTGGTGGATCACTGATGACTCCTGCAACGCAAAGCCAGTCAGTACAGAACACGATGACAACATATATATAGTGTGGCTACGTCAGGTACTACTTCCTGGTGCCTGATGCTGAGCAAGTGTAGTCTTAGTCGATGGAGCTGGCACTGCCCTCCAGAACCCAAAAGAGGTTCCAGCCACCGGAACACCCGGTTGCTGTCTGCTCGCTAGGCGAACCCGGACACTTCGCTGCGTGGTGAATGAATGCTACTGCTACTGCTACTGCTACTGCTACTGCTACTGCTACTGCTACTGCTACTGCTGCTGCTACTGCTACTGCTACTGCTACTGCTACTGCTACTGCTACTGCTACTGCTACTACTGCTGCTACTGCTACCACTACGACGACGACGACGACGCGACGACGACGACTACACTACTACTTGCCACTGCCACTGCCACTGCCACTGCCACTGCCACTGCCACTGCCACTGCCACTGCCACTGCCACTGCCACTGCCACTGCCACTGCCACTGCCACTGCCACGGCCACGGCCACGGCCACGGCCACGGCCACGGCCACGGCCACGGCCACGGCCACGGCCACCCACGACCACGACCACGACCACGACCACGACCACGACCACGACCACGACCACCACCACCACCACCACCACCACCACGACCACCACTACCACCACTACTACCACTACTACTACTACTACTACTACTACTACTACTACTACTACTACTACTACTACGACTATGACCTCCGCCGCGATGGTGTCCACTTCTACTGCCACCAAGTGTAGTAACACTGCCCCCAAACCCGGAGTCGTGCAAGTTGCCGATCCGAGGTGCGAACTACGTGTCGGAGGCCTGTCTGTGGCTAAAAGCCCTGGAGGGTTTAGGGTTTTGTGTTTGGGGCATAGGAGGATGTTGAGGGATTAGGGATTAGGCGTTGAGGGTTTATCGCAACCTGCTGCTCAGATTAAAGCCCGTTCTCCGAGTGACACGACGACAGCGCAGGTAGGGGCTCAAGAATTGCCATGCGCTATGACACTTTTCCTATGTATCTGACCTTATGATCCCTGATCTCCTGAACGGCCTGAGCATGATTATAGCAACTACGAGCTCTAGACGCAGTCCTGCAATAACAGCAAGGCAACGCTGGAAACAAGCTCGCACTTTCGCATGGGCTTCCGACTTTGCTACATAACGGTAGATTATAGCATATGGGTGGTTGTCAAAATTATGGTACCTTTGCGGGTGCCTTAAATAATAGGTGCCGTACTACTTTTGGGACCCAAAACGGGACCATAGTTTTGACAACCACCCGAAAAGAAAAGTATGGCAAAGGATGGAGAGCAGCGGGCCAGATCGGAGGTCTTATACTGGGTCGTGCGGATCAGAAGCCGTGGTAGGAGTATGGTTTGAAAGGTTTAGTGCATAGGGCGTAGGACCTGAAAAGGTATGTGGGTTCTAAGCGAACCCCACATGCTAAGCCCCTAAAACAACACAAGAACCCTTAACACTTCAATCCTAATCCCACAACCTATGTTTTGGGGGCTTCCTCATTATAATACAGTATAATCTACCCCAAAACCCCTAACCTATTCAATTTGGGGGTGCCTTATTCTCATATAGTAACATCTACGCCAAAACCCTTGGCTTTCCCTTCGACTGCCAGGGGGGTCGATCTGCCAGCACCAGACGCTCATCTGTGAGACAGAGCTCCAAAGAGCCGGTAGATCCTCAGAATTCTCAGGAGTAATGTGGGAGCTTCTCAACATCGTTCAAGTGGGGGTTCAAGGTTTAGGGCTTAAGGTTTGGGGAGCTTCTCAACATCATTCCAGCGGTGGTTCAGGGCTAAGGTTTCAGGGTTTAGGGCTTAAGGCGTAGGAGCTTCTCAACATCACGCTTGTGGAGGTTCGGGGTTCGGAGTGAGGGGTCAGGGTGTCAGGGCTTATTACTAGTCAGTGGATGCATATCATTCACATGTTTTCTGATGTTCGGATCCCAGCTTCCGGGAAGCTCCCACGAAGGGGCCGACATGCGCCGTGCAAAGAGCGATGTTTGAAGCTTCTGTTTGTCAAGTTACAGCCAAGTTGATTCGAGTTTCAAAAGCTGCTAAGGCCCCTAGATTCTGTTTGAGCCTGCTCTCCACGAAATTTCGTCCTCCGGTTTTCAAGGCATCCATTCCAGTTGCCTGATATGGGCTTGATAGGGCAAAGGCGCCGAGTCTGAGTAAGTACCTACATCCACCAAACCGCAATCAGTCGCCACCAGAAGCAGCAGGAGAAGAATCCTCTGAATAGATATCCAGGATTTTACTGCGTTTTCAGGTCTTTGTATTGGTGAGACAGCTACCGCTTGCAACATGTGTTTGTGCTGGTATCGGCCCGGCCCAGTCAAACGCCCATACGACGGAGCTCGCATTGCTGTTGGGAGATGTCCAAGTCGAGGCTTTAGTTCGGGTTCCTGACTACAAACACCGGCCCAGCCGTTTAGGGGTTAGGGTTTAGGGGTTTAGGATTTAGGGTTTAGGGGTTTGGGTTTTAGGGTTTAGGGGTTTAGGGGCTTAGGGTTTAGGGGTTTAGGGAGTAACCCCCATAAAGTTGGAAACTGGATTAAGGCCAAATAGTGCTGGGACTCCCTATACATTACTCTTAAGGATTGAGGCTATGGGGTTTCCAACTTTTGGGCTTCTACTGTAGTTCGGGTTTAGGGCTGAGGGTCTTGGGTGTAGAGAGTACTACAGGGGCCTTCATTATTCGAAGAGGGTTTCGGGGTGTAGAATACTCTTACTTCCATATGGAGCCATAGAATAGTATAGCTAGTTATTAAGGCCCGTATATTAGACGGTTCAAGGGGTTATGCTTTTGCCATGCTCCGGAGATGAGCTGGCCCAGCTTGGACACCTCAGCCAGACGTGTAGAGGCAAAATTGAGATCTCCCAAGGAGATTCAAAGAAGCAAGAGTACCTAGCTTCATGCCCTCCGACTCGCCGACCTTTCGTCATGTCTGTTTATGTCCGAGCCTAGTGAGAGTGGCAGACTAGGTTATGAAGCCCCGTGTTGAAATTGAAGCTACCTACTCAGAGACTCAGATTCTTCATGGTTCCCTTCTGAAGGTTGAGACGGGCTACCCGGTTTCAGAAGGCCCAATCTCGACTCGCGCAATGCTCGCCTGTTGTGTGAACTTTGAAAGCTACCGAAAATCGGGGGTGATGGTCAGGGGCTTGGGCTTAGACATGCCGCTGCGCACTCCATAACCCCAAAGAAAAACCCTTAGAATGCTCAAACAGCACGATAGAGGACAGGGTTTGTTGCAAAGGGTCTTCCCAGGCCCTCGTTTGCCACGTAGATCCCTCAACTCCAGACGGTGTACTAACTACTCCTTCTGGGCCATGCATCGGTTTTGCCTTTGTTGCAGATTCCTGTTGAGTTAGCTGGTGTTCGCGGCTACGGTTCAAGTGGGTGGATCCCAACCGTGAAGGCTGTTCACGCCCCGTGAATGGAGACTCGCACTCGTTGTATGTAATATAGGGGGCTGTATTTACCAATACCGTTTTTGGGGGCTCCTCATTATGATTACAGTATAATGGGCCCCATAGCCGTGCCAAAACCCTAGTCCAAGTATTAAGGCCCCTAAAGTATGCACACTGCTGAAACTGGCGATGCATAGTAGAGTACGAGCATAAGTCTGGATCCCCCCCCTAAGCCACCGAGCGCACACGAGGACTTTCCACAGAATGAGATGCTGAGTGTGACTGGCGAGACAGTCAAGCTGGGAAAGTCACGCCCTCAAGACCGCCGGTAAGTGCATTGAACACCGCCCTTCTGGAAGGGTATGAGTGTAGGGCCATGAGGCCCTGCCAGAGCAACATCAGTGGCTAAGAGCGAAGTACGTCGACGCAGTGCATCTCGGGACCGACACGATCGTTCAATCCGCTGCGACAGTCTGTGTTGAAGCATGTTGTGCTGTGCGGTGCGGTGTCATGTGGTGGTTGCTAAGCATGGTTAAGCAAATTGGGTCACATGGTGCTTGTTGTTTGTTGCTGCTGGGCGGGGTTGCCTTCTGCCCTGATCACAATAGAGAAGCCGCAGCGAGAAAGGTAGCCGGGGTCAGTAGCGTCAATCATGTGGAAGCCGTGAGGCCACGCGACTTTCCGAGCTACGGCTGGGACAACGAGTATGGCCATCGCAGCGTGCAGGCCATTTCGGGATGTGTTAGGGTTTAGTGGTTCAGGATTTAGGGTTTAGGGTTCCTACCATGGTTTAGGGTTCCTACGTGCTTTATGGCATTCTATGGCTATAACTTCAAAGCTCAGTTTGTGCTTCGTGGCCCGCCTTGTCATCTCTGCTGGGAATCTGCTGGATTCAGAAGATTCGGGCATACTAGCATCCGGTACTTTCTGAAATTCGCTCTTGCACATGATCTTCACCAAAACAATATATATATATGTATGTATGTATGTATGTATGTATGTATGTATGTATGTATGTATGTATGTATGTATGTATGTATGTATGTATGTATGTATATGCACCCATATATATATATATATATATATGTATGTATGTATGTATGTATGTATGTATGTATGTATGTCCTCCGAACCCCAAAGCCATGAAATCCCCCTCCGGAGCCGCGAGGGGCTCCTGCTTTAGCACGGCCTCCACGTGTCACGGTCGTGGCCCGAACTCCCAGGGACCATGCGCTGGCCGTCCAAGAAATTACGAGGCTTAGGGTTTAGTGAGTTTAGTGGCTTTGATACTGGAGCAAGGTAGGGGCCGCAAATGTAGGCAAGTGCGGCAGCATTGTGAAGGCACTGGCAAGAACAGCCGCTGTAGCAATGGGAAGAAGACGAGCAGATCGCCCACCAGGAACAGGAAATGGAATTCTCGCTTTTGCCGGCTTGAACACTCAGATTCTGAACAGGTCTTATTCGTGATTCCCTAAGCATCCGAGCTTCCTGGTTCGAAACAACCACCCCTGATACCAAACGCGAACCCCTGAACCCAAAACCGCAAACCCCGCAATATGGTTTAGGCGGGATGGTTCATTACCCTTTAATGGGCTATATAATGGGTATATAATAGCTATATTATAGGGAGGGTATATACCTAGGGGTCCTTATTAAGGGTCCCTCCCATTTCCCTTGGAGTTCACAGGTGCCAGACTTTTCGGCCAGCAAGTACATGATCACGAACGGTCGCGGACTGAGCGCTCTTTTTCTACCGGGTTTCGGGTTTGTTGTTCAGGACCCGTTTGAAGGCAAACCCTATATTCAAATCCGAAGACCTTAAACCCTTAAGCTCTGAACCTTCAACCCCTACACACACCCTTGCAAGTTGGATTTCGGGGCAGCTGGGCTTCAAGTTTGACTGAGTTTACTGTTCGTTCCAGGTGAGTTCTGGCACTTTGTGAACTCCGGCGGCTACCGTACTGAGAAGTACTGGCCGGATCCTTGATTCAGGGTTGAGGTCGAGAGTTTGGGGTTTGGGCTTCAGGTGGTTTGGGGTAAGGGTTGCGTGGGTGTGGGTCTGGGTCTTAGTGCATACATTTAGGACTGGGGTTTCGGACCTAGTCCTTAGGCTTGAAGTAGGGGTTTAGGCTCGGGTTCAGGAAAGGGGTCTTTGGGGGCTTTTGAGGTCTCCGTGACTTCATGGTCTTAACCTACTCAGTTCGTCTTTGGCTGGACCGCCAGCTGTCAGGGTTTCGGGCTTTAGGCTTTAGAAAATATAACCCTCGTCCCAGCCAGTACTGCTCTTCACCCGGAAACCCCGAAAGGCCTCTCAAATCTGTGCCAAACTCGAAGTCCTAGGTCAGAGGACGGATGGAATTGGCGCAAATACCGGAACATGAAGTGGCCCTTCTTCTGGGTCCAAGATGGGTGCAGGGCCCAGTGTTCGCTTCCGCCCTAGTTGCATCACGAAGCCTATATACTCTTGAACACGGCGGCCCCAGCGTCTGGATCAAACCCTCCACCTTGAACTGCCAAGTTTAGGGCAACAGCAAGGATGGCACATCGGACAATCATCGGCACCGGCGCAAGCAAGAGAAGCTAGGCCTGTAGTCAGTCATCGTGGTCATGCACCATCTTCACCAGAACAACCACGCTGGTGTTCGTAGCATGTATGTGGAGACTTTTCACAAAGCGCGTAGCTCCCCAGACATGTACTGAAGTTATGTGGCTTTTCTTCTGGAGCCTCATGCCTTGCAAGGAAACTCTAACTTCAAGCAGACATCATCTGGCAACGAGTGAGCTAGCAAGAGGTGGAAGACAGGAAACTTGGAAACTTTTTTGATAAACGGTCAGAAAGTTTGGGATGCCATCCTTCGCAAGTTGGGGAGTTGGGGGTTTGGGCCTCAGAGGTTTCGGTGTAGATCCATGTATCTTCTTAACATGTGGTGCTGCCCCAAACAAAGATAGACCGTCGACCACAGCAATTGGGGAGTACAAAAGCATTTGAGCGCTGAAAGCCTTAAGCCCTAGACCGCAACAAGCAAACCCCTAAACTACCCCCCTTTAGCCCCTGGGTCTCGCCAAGGGTCGAAAAGGCACCGGGATCTCTAGAGTCTAGAGCTGAAGAACCCAACAAAACCCAATGAACATTCTACAAAACCCTACGGCGAGCCCCTAAGAAGACCCTATAAAAGTATAGAAGGGGAAACCCTAAACCCTGAACCTTAAGCCCGCTCAAAAAGGCCACAGGGATCGATGCAGTTCAAGCTTCGGACCATCTTCGAGGCCTCGCAGATTAGGGT